AAAGCAGTATTAAGGCACAAACTGATGTGTGTACACTCCCTTTCCCTTCTTCCATTTGCTGTCTCCTCTTGTTTGCTGCATCTGTTTCATCAGAAGCTGCTCCTGGAAAACTGCAGAGTAGGAACAGTCAGCTTGGGTAAGATTTTTCTACTGAAGTGGTATATGCTTAAAATATCATTTTTTCCTCATTTCCAGTGCTGCTTAGATTTGGAAAAGGACATGCGAGAATTGTCACAGGAATGATGATGATTAAAGATTGTTGCTTGAATATTATTATTCTACAGTCGGCTATCTACTTGTGGATTGTGCTGCTTTACAGATCTTTGTATCATTAACATTTTTGGAACTTTTAACATCTATTTGAATTTAAAAGACAAACTTGAATTGGCAATGCATAATTCATTGTTCTTTGCTTTTGGATAATGTTCAGTTCATAGAATGATCAGAAAGATAGATTCTTTCACTGGTATATGATTCTGTGGTTGATTCTTAAATGTGGAACATTATTTTAGGTTTTTGGTTCTAAAATTAAGCTTGGTAAACAAAGTTTCAAATTCTGATGATTAAAATAAATGGAGAAAATTTATTCTCCACTTGAACCATGATTATTTGATTCCTATTTCTACCCGTATTGCTTTCCCAGCTCTATTAATACAGTACTATTGTTTTTTTGAGACTTAATATTTCAAGATTTTGACTCTGAATGACACAGCAAAAACCATTAGAGGTAATGCTAAACCAAAATAGCAACATACTTTGGAGTTATTAGATATGGTAGTGTGTGTTTACTAATAGAATAAAAATAATGCACACTTACATTTAATTTAACTGTGGAAATGAGGTATTTATTTCAGGAAAATTGGTATATTGGCATGAAATAATTGGTATGAAACCTGACTTTTTATTTGGCATGTGAAATCTTTTATACTACATATTTCCAACAGATACTCCTGATTTTCAGGGGTTGACAGATATATGTAGCACTTCCTTTTACCACACTGATTTAAAATGGAATATAGTGGATTTTAATCAGTTTAATGTATCTTATTTGATAGAGAGAAGCCTGTTTTATAGCTTAGGCTTTCTTGCGCAGACTGATTTTAGGTGAACACACCCTGGTTTCTTGTAAGGCAAATTGCAAATATTAAATATTAAATGAATTTAGAACTGCCTGATGTTTAGCACTTTTATTCTTGACTACAGTACTTCTAAAATTGCTTAGAAAATTCTAATAAGGCAACATGAGATAGGATTGGCAGAAGGCTTTTTAAAATACAATATTTATACTTTTGTTATCTGCCCTGAGCATTATTGCATTAATATTTTTATAAAGAAATGTTGATTAACAATAATACTAAAATCATAAAACTGTGAGGTAAAAATATAATATAGGTTATAAAATAAATAACACCAAACAACAGTGATATGATTATGTAAAAATATGGGTATGACCCACATAGAATCTACTGGCTCTTGCTGATAGTCAATTCCTGATGTTAAGGAGTAGTAGTAGCTACAGTTGAAAGCTGTTAAGCATGCAGTCTACAGATATTTGCTGTATTTGGTAGATAACACCACCACTGTAGGCATGTTTAGGCGCAGTATGTTATTTTACTGGCACCTCAGAAACATTAAAGAACCTGCAGTGTTCATTTTATACTTACAAAAGGATTCTGTAGCCTGTGGTGCAGCTTTAGCTGAGATGGAAGAACTATACAACTTGCTTCTGTGAGCTCAAAAAAATAATTTGCATTAAATTACTTGGCTCTGTGTTTCATGCACATCTGTTGTATACATATTTTAATATTCTAAACTTTAGGCATTCTTGTGAGGAAAAGGCTCTAGATTCCTTAGCAAAATTTAACTGCCTGTAGAACCTCTTTTTGTGGGATAGGTTATATCCATAAGGAGTGGGTGATTGTGTTCCCATCCTTATCTTCCTCATAGTCTCACCATGAAATCTGCAAATGGAATGGGTACATGTGAGAGTTGCGCTTAAGTCTGTTTTATCACTATGCCTCTTTATAGTACTTGTTTTACTTTGAGAGACAATTTTGCAGTAAATGTAATCTGCTGGGATCCCATCAACAAATGGGATGTGGTAATTAGTTTCTGAGTAAATATATTTGTTAACAAATGTTATACCAAATATAATACTACATTTTTTCCCAAATGGAGGGTCGGGATGGGAAGGGGAAGAATGGCAGCATGATCCCCAGTCCTTTAAAAATTAGAATGATATATTTTTGTTCCCTTTCTTTCCAGTCTGTGTCCCACTAGTGTGGTGAAAAGCTATTTTCCTGAAATCTTGATTTCTTTACATGTGCAACAATTAAATGAATTGCCTATATCGTTCTCCTAGGGATATTGGATTGTATTACCTGTTCCAAAACATAAGCAATATTACTGAAAAATTAATCTGGTTTTAAGCTTCCTTATGGTAATACTCTTATTTCAGTAGATATATGGAGTTAAAAGAATAGATAAATTTATGTACACAAATTACATATATGAAGCTGTAAATTAGTAAGGTAATGGTATAGTGATAATTTTAACTCTATCCTACAGAACATTTGCTTCTTGAGAAGGATGAATCTGGTGCCCAGGCACATCCAATTCAGGAAAGGAGAGTGGTAGAATATCCCCCTAGGAATTTTTTTTTCTGATTCCATATCCCTCCTCAGTTTTCTTCTGACCTCTAGCTTTTCCTTAGTTATAATAAGTAACATCTGATAGGAAAAACTAACATGTTATGTCCTGAAGCAGAGAGAGGCAATGTTTTTCCACAGGGTAGCATCACAATTATAATGCCGCTGTGCACTTCACTTGTTTTATGCTTTTCTGTGCCGAAGCAAGGGGGAATAGAGCAAGCCAGCCTAGAAATACATAAAGGGCAGAGGAAAAGGAACTGTTCATGAATGAATAACATGTACTTTTCACTGTCACGCCATTCAGCCCATATGACACCTTGATCACAGAAAAAGAATGATTGGGGATTTACAAATAAATGCTTTCTGGATGCCTGCTGGCCAGTCCTAATGCAATTGTCTGGATATGCTCCATTCCATTAGCACAGATGGATAGATGTGAAAAGTGGCCATCAGTGGAAGTTCTAAGAGCTTTCCCTGAATAATGGATGAATGGTTCTGTCCTGACTGCAAACAAGACTGCATAGTCTGTATATTTAGCTTATTTTTCTATGTCCGCATAATAATTATTTAAGTTCTATTAATTCAAAAGAAATTAAAATTCTTAAAACTGTGATGAAATTTTATGATAGGTTTCTAGAACAAGGAAAAATAAATAGAAAATACTTATTGTTACTTTTTTTTTTTTTGTTTAACCTCCAAATTATTGTTAATTTTGGAAGGTATTAGGATCTAGAGCTGTGCAAATAACTGAATTTGGGGAGGAAAAAGTAATTTGGACCATGAGCAGGCATGCACATAGCATGTATTGGGAATATCTTACACAGTTTTTTTTCCAAGATTCCATATAAACAGTGGAGGACAGCCTTGCAAGCTTAGGAAAAGACACAATTGCTTTAAATTCTACCAAAATGCTTCTAACCAATCCAGCTATGTTCCTAGCTTTCCTGAAGCTGTGTGCTGAGATTCAAATACTTAACCTGCTTTTGTCTTTTCAGCTAAAGCACTTGACTATTATTATTCCATCTCCCTAATTCTCTGTTATCCAATAAAACTCTTCAAATGCGTTGATCAGTGAATGGAATGAAAACATGATTGGATTCAGATATCTGATACTGACATAAATAGAATAAATAAGTTATTCCTAAGTTTAAACTCCATACTGTGAAATTTGCACAAATGAAATATAACCATAAAAAGATGTTCCAAGTTTTGTCACTTTCTCTATGAATATAAATTGCCTGGATTTTTTACTCAGTAGTAACATTGCTGTTTTCTTTTAAGTTGTTCATTAATTCAGAACTTGGTTATAATGCTAATAAGTGATCCTGCAGTAAAAGTCAATTAGTTATACAGGTAGTCATTGTTTAATGACCATTCATTCAGTGACCGTTTGAAGTTCCAACGGTGCTGAACAAATGGTAGTCATGGCTGGTCCTCAAAGTTATGGCTGTTGCAGCGCCCCCATGGTCACATGATCAAATTCAGGCACTTGGCAACCAGCCCGCATTTACAACCACAGCATGCACTTCAACTTCCCCCACCTGCCTATCTCCCCCCATGTCTGTCCTTTTGGCTGCCTTGCGCTCCGCCACCATCACCTACCCTGCCGTCCCCAGCTGACCTTTGCCGTCTTCTTCCTCCCGCTGCTGGCCCAGGATCCAGGCCCTTGGCAAGGGCAGAACTGGTGGAGGAGGCAGAGTGGTGGTGTGGGCTGTGACTTGCTGCCACCTTCGCCCAGGAAGCCACAGCCTGCACCATCACCCTGCCTCCTCTGCCAGCTCCATTCCGCTGCCTCCTCCCCAGCTGGGCCCAACAAGCTCCCTTTGGCAGACAAGGCTCTGCCATGCATGTCCTAGGGCCACACCCTCACCCAGTGCCTGGATCCTGGGCCAGCAGCAGGAGAAAGGAGATGACAAAGGTCAGCTGGGGATGGCAGGGGTAGGTGGCGGCAGCAGAGTGCAGGTGGGTCACAAGGACAGAGATGGGAGATAGGGGGTAGGGAGAGTTGAAGCAGAGGCAAGTGCGGCAAGGCTGCAGGGCCTCGTCTGCTGAAGGGAGCTCTCCAGAGCCAGCAGTTTGTACAGGGCAGGAGAAGCTTGAGGTTCTTGCCCAAAGACATGTAACGAATGTGACTGGGATTACTGGAACTGCCATTGCTAAGTGGGCGGACCTGTCAAGTTTTGCCTAACAACTGTTTTGCCTAGCAATGGAAGTTCCAGTCCCAGTTAGGATCATTAAGTGAGGACTACCTGTATTTCAGATTCTTTTAGCTGTTAAATGAATATAAGTCACTTAAAAGTATATGTTCTGAACTCTGATGCTTTTGATAACTGCTACTTTCCCCCCCAGGGAACTGTTTTTAGTTTGGATTCTGAAGAGGAAGAATACCACGGAATCATTGCTGAAGATAGCAATGACATCTACATCCTAACTAGTGACAACTCAGGCCAGGTGAGCCCACCTGAGTCACCCACAGTAACAACATCTTGGCAGTCAGAGAGCTTGCCTGTTTCTTTGTCAGCCAGCCAGAGCTGGCATACAGAGAGCTTGCCAGTTTCATTGGGGCCTGAGTCGTGGCAGCAAGTAGCTATGGATCCTGAAGAAGTAAAGAGCTTGGACAGCAATGGAGGTGGAGAAGAAAGGAGTGAAAACAACTCTTCAAACTCAGATATTGTCCATGTTGAAAAGGAAGAGATACAAGAGAGTGTTGAGGAGACAGCGGTGTCAGAAGTGGGCCTGCAAACTAGTGCTAAAAAATTGAGCTTCCCAGAAGCTCCAGCTGCATTGCTGAAAACAGAGTCAGAGGCTGAAAGCTTGTTAATTAAAAGACTAAGCCCCTCTGCATCTTCACTTGCTGAGTGTCACAAAGAGGGGAGAGTAGTGGAATATCCTGAACCTGAACCTCTGATGTTGAGTAAATCTGCCAAACAATATCCTTCAAGTGAAAAGGCTTCCCCCAAGTCTGAGAAAATACAACTTCCAGAAGAAGAAACAAAACTAGGGAAAGAGAGCTATTCTGAAGAAAAGTCTCCCGATGGAGAGGAGAAATCCATTCTTTTGCCAGAAGGCAAATCACTTCTGCTCTATGGCGGGGCAGCTGCAGTAGCTATCCTGGCTGTAGCAGTAGGTGTAGTGTTGACATTGAGGAAGAAGTAGTGAACTCTTCTCTTCAGAGATAATGCCTGAATCCACGCTTGGTTGCATTGACTAAGGTTTGCAATGCCTCCTGTTAATGAGAAATCTGTGTAACTTGACAGGAAGATGGGGCATGAGTTTACTGCTAAGTCTAGGGACAATCATGTTTTTAGTGGCCTGGGACTGGATCTTCCTCTTTAATGATAGGGGTATTATTGGAACCCCCTTGCACATTTAAATATCTTGATATATCTGAGAAATGGGGAGGGGGGGAGGGTTGCTTATACACTGGAAATTGGATCAGGAAATTCCAGGGTAATGAAAAAGTTCATCTTTATCCCTGGAAAATTCCTTTATGTAGCTGCTATTGCAGCTTCTTGGTTCACCTCCACCTCTTGAATGAGAGGTTCTCTAACCCTGTAGCATGAGGCTACTTCCCCTTTTGTCTCAGCTTCCTCAGGTACTGCACTGCTCCTCTTCACCTCTCTGTTCCCTTTGAAACCCCATGGGGTAGTGCTTGCTCCCTAAATTCTGTGATTAAACTTCCAAAGCTATGAAATAAATGAAATGAAATGAAATGAAACCCTCCCATGTAGAGATGAAAGTATAATGCATTTTGGGGAAAGATAATATTTTTTTCATCCTTGTGCTTTAGGCATTTTGGTGATTTGTTACTGTTGTGGCTGTCCCTATCCATTCCCTACTCCCCCATTCATCTGGCTTTATTGTGTCAGTTTAGTTATCAGAGATACACTCCTTTCATGTAAGTACCTATCACCATTCTGATGAATGCAAAAGAAAGAAAGATTTCCATGTAATAAGCAAAAATGTATGTGAGGCAACAAGAGTTGAATACTGTGCAGCTTCAGATTTAATTCAAAAAATGTGCTTCAGAGTGCATGGGGTATAAATAGAGGACCTGTCTCCAACTCTTTAAAGCAGTTGTGGTTTTCCCCAGGATAAGATGGTTGCCTTCCACATTTGCTGTTTCCCAGAAAAAGATGCAGTTGCTTTAAAACGTTGAAAACAGGTGCTATGGATGCACTTCTGCATGCTCCAAAATACTTTTTGGATTTGAATCTGAAGCAGTGTGGCCTTATGAAATGCCACTAATTATAAATTAAAATCTGTTTTGTTAATCCAATTGCAAGGTTGGAACACTTGGCCTTAATTTACTTTTACCATTGTGATGAATTCAAGGTCTTCAAGGAAACTGACTCAGCAGTTAACTGAAAGAGCATTTGTTTCCAATTTCCAGTTTTCTGGCCATTGGTGGAGAAATGATCTAAAAATCATGTCTTGTATAGCTCATGTAACCTTTCAGATAACTTCTTTCTATGTATAAACAATTCCTTTTTATTTCACCTATAATTGGCCCCGTAAAAAAAATAAAATTGATCATCCATGTCAAAGTGTTATTTTGTGTGTTTTGGAATGTACAGGTGGTGACTGTCATAGTTATGAATAATATAGTACCACAGGTTTTTACTTTAAACAATAAAATGGCTGTAGCCTCTTTTTACATTTTTTTGGAGATGAGATAGATAACCCTTCCCATTAAACCTGCTATAAAAATTCACATTTGATACAGGTAGTCCTCAACAACCATGTGTTTAACTTTGTCAAAGTTATGATGGTGCTGAAAAAAGTGACTTATTACCAGTCCTTGCACTTACAACCACCACAGTGTCCCCATGGTCTCACAATCAAAATTTGAGTGCGTGGCAGCCGGCATGTGTTTATGATGGTTACAGCATTCCGGGGTCACAATTGCCATTTGTGACCTTCCCAGGGGGCTTCCAACAAGCAAAGTCAATGGGGGAAGCTCATGCATGTATGAGAGATTACACTTCTAAACATTTGTGTTCACATATCATAGAACACTTAGTTTAATATATAATATCTACAAGGGAATCTTTGTTTAAATATATTTACATTTCTCCATAGTACTATTTATTATCCATTTTTCAGAATAAAGTGCCTCAGTATGTTCCAGTGGGATTGAACTGTTTTTCCATTTGCCCTCAGCCCAAAAATCTAGCTGCAACCACAAATTATTTTTTTTGGGGGGGGAGAAACTCTCATGTGAGTCCTTGACTTATGACCACAATAGGGATCGGAAAATGCAACAGTTGTGTGAGGACTGGTCGTAAGTCACCTTTTCAGCGCTATCATAACTTCGAACTGTTGCTAAACCAATGGTCATAAGTCGAGGACTACCTATTTAGACAAACTGAATAGTGAATTATTGCTGCCAGTATGTATTCCAATACAAGCACTATTGCTAAGATTGCTGTAGCAGATTTTGGCTGCAGCTTCCTCCACCCTCTAAAATAAACTTCTCTTGACTTCTACAGTAAACTATGGAGGAAATAAACAGTGCAAGGTTTAGGTAGCCATCCATTTTGCCTGATTACAGCCATGTGTCCATTTGAAGAGAAGGTGACAGACTGAACTTATTTCTTCTCTTATTTTTCCAGGGTGTTGTACTTTTCATAGAAAGCAAAATGCTAAAGAGTGTGAAATGAAACATTAGAATTGGGGTAATTATGAACTGACCCTTTCAAATATTGATATGTTAGAACTTGATTATATTTTACCTAATCTCTGCATTTAAGATGGCAAATGCTCCTGTTTGAATATTGGAGCTTCATAATGGAATAGAATTTGGTTAAGATGCAAAACTTGTATTTGGTGTTTTGGAATTGCAGCCATTATGTCTGTAGAAAACTCTTCAGAATAAATCATTACCATATCCTTCATAGCACTAGTGAAATGAAGACAAATTAAATGTATACCAGTAGGATTTCAATAGTATGTGTCATGTAACTGTTACTTCAAAATAATCTATAATTCTGCAATAGAAGTCCTACAATACTATTGGACTAACTGGTGCAAACTACATTCACTTTCTCCTTCCTGCTGCTTCCATTTGGGGAAAAATGCTTTTGAGATGCAGCAAAAACACAGATTTGCTGTCTATTGAAATACTTTTTTCCTTCGTGTGGATATACTTTCAGTTTTTGATCTACTTACTGTGGGCTTCCTATAAAAGTTCTTGAAAGCAAAATAAGTGTCGTTCTTGCTTAGTGCTTTGCACAATAAGCTGGAGCTGGGCACATTTTTTAAAAGCTATGCTCCTGAACCTGCTCATGCATACCTGAAGCACTTCTTTTGTTATACATTACGACTTCTAGTCTGGTTGGAAAGTTGCCCGTCTGACCTTGCTTGCGGTGAGCCAGGGAGAGAGGGGTCTGCTTTCATGGTTTGAAAACCTTTCCAAGAATT